CCATACTGATGCTCGGTTTGAACTGCAGCAGATCATCTTGACCATGTCTACATCCCTAAATGTATTGAGTTGCCGCCATGTGATTGGCTGATTCCACATTAGCGTTAATGAGCAGTTGGACAGGTGAACCTATAAAGTGGCCAGTGAGTGCATGTATATGAAAGAGAATGAATAAGTGAATGAATATTTGAATGAATGCATGAATGAAAAGTCTCCATGTAAGAAAAAAGCATTTTTAACAACCTTTTCACAAAGAAAATCAGAAACTAGAGGGTTTCACTTTATTTCTCTGCATCAAACCAATTATGTTTTCTTGGGAAACAGCCGAGAAAAAGTAAAAAATAGAAAAAATGGTTAAAAATGTAAAAAGTTGTTAACACAAATAAATAAAATGTAAACATAAACATGATTTCGGATAATTAAAACATTTGCATTAATAATTTTGTGCAAAAATAAACTATAAGTTTTCAACAGGTTGAACCGCAAACAATTCAGAGTGATCAATCAATCAATCAATCAATCAATCAATCAATCAATCAATCAATCAATCAATCAGTCAATCAATCAATGGATCGATCGATCCATCGATGGATCAACAGACCGACCGACCGATCAACCAACCAACCATCCAATCGATCAATCAATCAATCAACCAACCAACCAGTCAATCAACCACCCAACCGATCAATTAATCAATCAATCAATCAATCAATCAATCAATCAATCAATCAATCAACCAACAAACCAACCAGTCAACCAACCAACCAACAAACCAACCAACCAACCAACCGATCAATTGATCAATCAATCAATCAACCAACCAACCAACCAGTCAACCAACCAACCAACCAACCAACCAACCAACCAACCAACCAACCAACCAACAGGATGCTTTTCATCACAGCTGACAGTAAAGGTGCAGAACATGAAACATTTTTTCAGTCTTGATGTCAGAACGTCTCGTTAAAATAAAACAGAAGTTTTGACAGAAAACAGATTTCATCCAGCAGGTAGTCAAAGTGTCCTCTGGACATGTCCCGTCCATCGCTGCACAGGACTCAGAGACAGAAGCAGGACGTCTGCAGAGTGTCTTCTTTTTAGTTCATCAAGTGTTTCAGGGTTTATCTGGCCTGTTTTAGTCACTGACTGTCTTTGTCCACCTCTCTGTCCTCCACCGTAACGTCCTCCAGAGGACTGTCCTCGGCTGTCCTCTCAGCTGCAACAATGCTCACTTGGTTGATTTCCTCAATGGGCTCAGAGTTCCTCATCGCTAAATAAACAGAGGACCTGGACGTGGCCAGCAGGGTCTGAGACAGGAGACAGGAGGAGACATGAGGAGACAGGAGACAGAATAATTTCTGGTCTAAACACATTAAGTCCTCAGAGACATCAGAAAGTCTCAGCATGACTCAGCTGCAGGTCCAGACTGACCTCTTTAAAGTGCTGAGTCAGCGCTTCCTTCGGGCAGAGGAACTGAGAAATATTTCTCCAGTTCATCACGATCAGGACCACCAGGACCACGGCCACGGCCATGATGACGAAGACGATCACTACCGGAACCCACAGAGACTCCTCTGGAACACAATCAGACTCTTATCAAGCTTTGGTCCTTCAAGGACACATCTCTCTGGACATCTGGACCAGCTGAAGACATGTGATTGTGTAGGCAGGACTGGAGAGCCGGACCACCTGGCCCGTCTCAAACCATGTGGTGCTCACCGTCAGTGGTGCTCTCACAGATGATGCTGCTGGGCTCGCTGGGGTTGTGGTCGGTGACGATGCGGACCTGGACACAGTACTCGCTCTTGGGCTCCAGGTTGCTCAGAACCACACGGGTCTGCTGTACCTCCTTGTGTTCAGACTGCAGGACCCAACAAAGACCAGGTCAGAGACTGGAAGAACTAGGTTCAGGTTACTGGTTGGACCCCCACCAGCAGAACCCAAGACCCAGTTCCCTTTAATTTARTGAGGTTCAGCCTAAATCCTCTACAGGTCATAAAAGATGCTCATGGTTTAAAGTTCCTCCTGCTGCTGTTACAGGAGGCCTCCTGCAGGTGGCAGCAGAGAGACACACCTGCATCAGCTGAGTCCTGTTTACATCCTGTTCCAGTTTGGTCCAGTTCATGGCAAACAGAACCAGAGAAATTACATTTCCTGTGAAAATGTTAGTATGAATGAAAACTTCAGCTGAAAATATTTAACAGGAAAAGTGTTAATTCTTTGTATTAGCACTTTACTTTGAAAAGCTGAAAGAAGCAAAAACACCTAACTTTCAGAAAAACAGTAAAAAGGAGCACAAATCTAGTTGAAAACAGAAAACAGCTAAAAGCTAAAATAGCTGAACATAGCTTAAAACATCTGTAAGAAGCATAAATAGCACTAGGTTGCAAAAAATGCGTAAAAGTAGAAAAAAGCAGAAGAATAAAAGAAAAAAAGCTGATCTATAGCTAAAGTAGCATAAAATAGGCTAAAGTTAGCAGACATAAATTGACATTAGCACCCAGATAGAGAAAAAGTTGTAAAAACTGTAAAACTAGCAGAAAAAGTGCATATATGTACAAAAAAGTGATAATTTGTAGTAAAAAGGCTAAAACAGATGAAATTTTCAGTAAAACAGCTAAAAAGAAGCTGGAATTTTAAAAATTAGCATAAAGAAGCATAAGAAGCACAAGTTTGCTGAACTTAGCTGAAAAGAAATTGTAATAGTTACAAAAAACTTAGAAATGCTAACTTTAGCTAATAGCAGCTAAACATTAGCTAAAATTTCAGCAAATACCTGAATATAGCAGAAAGCATCTGTAAGAAACATAAATAGCACAAAGTAGCAGAAAAAACACTAAAAAGTAGAAAAAGCTGAAGAAGCTAAAATTTTAGCTGAAATAGCAGAAAAAAGCTAAAATTAGCAAAAAGGGACGTGAAAAAGAGCACAACCAGAACAAAACATGTAAGATGCTGTAAAGGTTTAGAAATATTTTAAATTATTTTAGGGAGGTTGAAAACAGCTCCATTCATTTTCAATGGAAAAAAGTGGCTAAAAAAGTGAAATAGCTAAAAAAGTATAAATAGCTGAAATACTAAGAGTCACAGCAGCCCTCACATGAATGAGCTGAACATTTTGATAAATGATTTGTTGACACAACACAAACACTGAGGAACGAATTAGATGCTGAACAATCTCAATAGTGTGAAGCATCACAGAACAGGTCCTGTTGTTCTGGACTGAACTACCTGACCGAGGTGTACCCAGTTCTGGACTGAACTACCTGAC